AGTTGTGCCTGTTGCTGGCTAGAAGGCCAGGTGGCAGAGAAAGCTCAGAGCTGAGTTCCAGTGAGGCCTGTAATGTTTAAAGAAAGTTTGGGGGTGGGGGGATGCCCAGATGACAGTGGACATTCAGGCAGGTAGGCAAGGGATAAGCAAAGCATAGTGTCCAAAGAAGTGAGTCTCAGTCGATGGTGGGAGTCCAAGGTGAATATACATATGGGTGTTCTGGTAAGGGGTAGAGTATGATGAGGGGCAGGGGACACAAAAGCCAGGCTAAAGCCATTGATTCTGTGTGTCAGAAGTAGCAGCAAGTTGTCAGGTCCTATCCATCCCTAGGAGGCAACAAGGTCCCAGGCAGGACTAAGGCTCAGACCTTCCAAAAGTCCTACAGGACCAAACATTTGATTTGAACAGGAGTGTGAGACCAAAAAGAGATCTCCATGGGGCTGAGGCTGCTTACTCAAGTCCAGTAAGATCTAGGATCTAAGTGGAGGCTAGTTGGTTCAGTATTATTTTTTATTTGTATAAATGTAAGGAGTAGAGAGCAATTTTATATCCATCACCCAAATAACACACACTGTACCCATTAAATAATTTCTCATCATTCACTTCCTCCACCCCCCATTCTTGTGAGTGTCCAGGCCAGTTGGAAGATGGAAGGTCAGTGAGTCTGGCCTGGGAGAAGGAGGCAAATCAGAGGCAGGGTGAAGACAGAGTGTTTGGCCTCACAGGACATTTTAGCCTGACGACAGCAGCGTCCGACCTCATTATTTCTCTATCCTTAAGGAAGCTCTCCTCTCACTCCCAGCCTTACCCTGAGTATGTCTGGGCATGCCAACCTCTGACGTGATCTATTGGAAACCTAACCTGCTACTTGCATGTAAGGATATAACAGAAGAAAGCGGAAACACCGTGAGCGTCATGGAAGAGTCTCAAGAACTATTACCTATTACCTACAGCACTGTTTATCACTGGACCAATGGGCCACTTGTCACCATGGTAACAACAGGCAAAACAACAATTCCAGCTTTCTAAAGCCAGTGTTCAATGACGATTATGTTACACAGAAGAGTAAGTAATCCCACAGTGCATTATAAACAGAGTTGCTAGTATCCAAAATTATCAATGCGGGAGAAAAATAACTTGTGACAGGACGAATTACATTTCTCAGGGTGTGTGTGCAGTTCATGCCAAAAATGCCAGGAGGGAATCTCTTTCAGCCCAGCTTGAAGTCATTGCTTTATCCCCGCCTCCTTTTTTCCTCTCCATGTCTTTTTTTTTAGGGAGGAACACCTTCATGAAATATTAAGAAACATGATAAATTTGTTTATAAACCCAGATATGTACATCCCTAGCCCTGCTGGTAAATCAGACAGATATTTATTGATTGAAATGTTTGCATTTGGAGTGAATCTTTTATGTCTTCAGGGCAACATATAATTGAGGCTTATCTGCCTCTTTGAAGCAACTGTTTCTTTCCAAATGCCTGATACAAATATGAAACACAATCTCCCCTCTCCTCTTGTCCCTGCTCCCAAGCTGAGCAGCAGGACATGGGTTATAGGCTCATTGCTGCCACCCATTGGTTGGGAAGCCAAATCACAGCCTCCCTGGCCTTGGATTTCCCATCTCTGCAAATTCACCAATCTGGCTTCTTTTTTCAAAGCCTGTTCCCTTCCTGTCTCTCATTAGGGTCTGAGAGTGAGAGAACAATTTATTAAGAGGGATAAGAGCACACAGAGAAGTGGACTTCAGTTTTCTTTTCCATTCTGATTCATCACTGGGCCAAGGGCCAAAACCCAACTTAGTCCAGTTCCCACATCTCACTTCAAATTTACATGGAAAGTCTAATAAGTTGTTGATTAGGCAATGAATTGACCACCCAGTAGTAAAGTGCCCACCCTTTACCAATCAGCTATGGCCAAGGGTGGGTGTCATCTGGTACCCATATGGCTGTCCAACCTCAGTGGTCATTCCCAGAGAGTGAAGATGCAGTGGGGTTCTCAGGAAACCAGATTCTTCCTTGACACAGTTTAACCTTTGGTTGTCATTTTCTTTCTCTGTGTTCAGTGTCCCTAACTTTAACATTAAGATGGTATCATACAGACAGTTATAATCAAGTGCCTACTCTTAGGCAGCTATACCATTTCCTGGCTATGAAACCAGAACAATAACACAGCCACTCTGAGCTTCCATTTTTCCATCTATAAAAATGAATCTGCATCATGGGATTGTCATGTAGATTTAAAAAAAAAAAGATCATGCATGTAAACCACTTAGCATGGGGCCTGGTACCCAGTCAACACAAAATTAATATTAGTTGTTATCACCACCATCATCACCATTATCATCATTTTGTCAGGAAGGCTATTTTCAGAGCTTCAAGTTGAGCACCCAAACTTACTTCCAGCCAAGCCCAGCCTCCTTAATTGGCGTTCATGAAACACTCCCTTTTACTACCCAAGATCTGAGTCCTCCCATCCAGCATGGTGAGTAGAACAAAGTCGGTTCTCACCAAATTCCCCCCGAAATTGGATAGGCCAGAGACAGGAAGGAGACTGTATGAGACTGAGAGGAATGGCACCTTCTCAGCTTTATGACCCCTGGGATGCTGGAGTAGGATTCATTGGAATGATATGAAAACAAAATAAAATAGGAGAGATGGAATTCTAACAGTAAATCTGATCCTGTGTCAAGAAATCTACTTGGGAGGAAAATATTCCCCAAGAGTAGGAAAATGTTTCAGGAGGCTCATCAATAAACCCTCAAAAAAGAAGACTCCCTATTGTGATTTTGTGGGTTTGAGAGACACCACAAAGCAATCCAGCCATTGGGCTGCTCATATGGCCCAATGACTAGGGAAGAGATGCATGACCAAGATTACTTGGTACCTTTCTTTAGCTCCCCCTGGGAAGAAATTTGCCTGGAGATAGAATTGAATAACACTTCAAAGTTTATAGTCTATATCAGAGCAGGAATGTTGGGGGAGAGCATGGGAAGACACACAGAAAAAGCCACTACTCCAGATCCTGGAGAACTGATTTTGAGTACTGGCTCTGGAATGTACCAGCAAAGACCCTGGGCAAGCCACCCAACTTCTATATACCAGGAGAGAATTGAATAATAAAATCAATGATTTTCAAGCACCTCCACCAAGTCCTGTAGTCCCTCTGTAGAAATTCAGGGGCAACTGGAGATTTGGGCAAAAGATATGAAGGAGTTCCAGTAGGAGTAACCTCTGGGTCCCACCATCTCCACCACCCTTCAACTAAACAGTCTCTGCCTTTTTGCTTTAGAGATCACTGTTCCAGATTCCAAGATTTTGATAAGAAAAATCTTTCATTTTTTCTAGGCAAGAAAAATAACTAGATGATCTCCAAATGCATTCTAGTTCTGGCAGTCTATGATTCGAGCATGGAGGGAATGGGGTTACTTCAAGAAGAGGCTAGAAAGGAGGATTCACACAAAACCACAAAAAGCTTTGCCTCCCATGCTAAGGCACTTAAGCTTTAGCCAACAGAGAGCCATGAAAGGGAAATATGAGCAGTTTCCTGGGCTAGCAAAGCACCCTGACGACTGGATAAGTGAAGAATATATGGGAGGGTGGGGGAAGGGAGCCAAGAGATCACATTATTCCAGCATTTCCCAACAGGAGGTAAGAAAAATGGATGGATGGGGAGGTGTAGGGTAGGGGCATCCTTCCCTACTCAGCAACTTCCATCCCTATGTTTTTTACTTTTCCTTTTCTTTGTCTTCCAATTTCATTCCCATCTTCAAAAAGTAAACATGACTTTTCTCACTGTCAATGACATTGACCTGTCCCCTCACACCAGAGGAGTACAGTGACACTATGGCAAAAGGCATGTCATCTTCAGCTAATTAGCAAAGGCTACGGCACTCTGTTCCCAGCCAGATCGTGTCAACAACTGGCTGCTTGTGCTAGATAGATCCTCACTGCCCCATGTTCCAGATATCTCAAGCTCCCAAACTATGTATCTGCACCTACCTAATCAGCTTCAAAGAAGGATTTTCAGAATGCCACTGTCCCGGCAGCTTCCTCACCTACCATACCTGCCCCACCATCAGCTCAGCCAAGGCAAGAATTCCCACAGGTTTCCCAGTAGACTTGTTAAAGATGAAAAGGCCACACACATCCAGACCTCTGATTTATGATGTGACATGAACTCAACACTTTTCTCATGTTCTTGAGTCCAATATAAAAGAGTGAAAGCAGATACTTAAAACTAGAACTGAGAAAATATTTTATGCCTTTAAAAACACCTAGATGGGACACTCCTCAGCTATCCCATAACCTGGTATGGAGAGCTCAATGAGGAGCAGGGGACCATTCCCTTGACTGTAAGCTGAGGACCTCTTTCTGGAAAGAGCTGCCAGCCCAGACCACTGGCACCTGGCTTCCCTCCTATTCCCTCCTCCTCCAGGTTGCTAACCCTGGGTTTGTGCACATGCTATACCTCTGCCAGGAATACCCTTCCTCCGTCTCTTTTTAGTTGTTCATATAATCATTTTTTAATTGATTGAATAGAGGAATGAGTGAGTGACAACTACTTCTTGCAATCCAGCTTCTTGAAATCAACTTTGCTTTATGTTATGTTATATTATGTTTTATTATATTATATATGTTGTATTTTATTATATATGTTGTATTTGGTTATATTATATAAACAGCAACAAAATTCTGGAACCAGAGAATTGAAATGCAGAATTTTCAATAGTCAAGAAGTCCAACTCATTCACTTTGAATTTGAAGAAATAGACTCAAACAAAGGAAATGGCCATTCCAAAGTCACCTAAGAATAACAAAAGCTAAGAGTTATTGATTGCTGGGGGCTAGAGGCTGTGCTAAATGCTTCACACACATTATTGCACTTAGTCTTCACAATAATTTTAGGAGGCAGATGCCATTACTAGCCTCATTTTCCCAGTAAGAAAATTAAGAGGGGAAATGACTAGTTCAAGTTATATAGGCTTAATAAAGGCTTTACCTGATAAACTCTAGGGTGGGTAACACTTGGTAGAGGAGAGAGAGAGAGAAGTTTTGATAGAAGGCTCTCCCCATGTACAGCCAATCATTTCACCTCTCTCATCCTCAGTTGTTACATCTGTGAATTGAGAATAATTACATAATTATTTATATTCCTAGGGTAGCTATGAGATTTTTAAAAAAATAATGCGTGTAAAATTATTTGGTAAGCTGCAAAGCATTATATAAATGAAAGAGAAAAATATACTTTTTTCAAAATGAAGAGAGGATTTATTGGGTCTTTTTTCTATTTAAAAGAATAATATGTGCTTGTGTTTGAAAAGGATAAAACAGTAAAAAATTATACAGAGAAGAAAATAAACATTATCTAAAGTTCCACCATCTAGAAATGATGATTAGCAACTTAATGCTAATACTTCAGGAAATCACTCTGAGTGTGCTTATGTATATATGCATATAATTATTAATATTAATAAATTATATCATACTATTCATGCTGTTTCATGACCTGTTTTTTTCACTCAAGTTATACATGGTGAAAAATCAACAAAACTTTATTTTGAAAAGGCCATTCTTCCAAGTTTAGCTCAGCCCTGTGAAAAGAATCCGAGTAGGGTTTATTTATTTATCATCCCCTTTTTGATTCCTGAAACTGGTCCTCAGAGGCGGTGTCGTCACCTATAATGGTACAGCCTGTGCCCTACACAGAGGCCATGGGAGCTGAAGGCCAGCCTGTTCCAGTCCCTGGCATGGCTACAACACCCAGGGAAGGGGGCCCTTGTGTGGTTTGCACAAAGGTGCCATGTGTACTGGCCTCTGAGCAGGGCTGACACTAGCCATGGAGACCCTAAAGCCAGAGGGCCTGCTTCTGAGCAATGCTGGAGCCAACAAGGGCAAGCAGAGTGGTGCCGTCCATCTGCCATTTCTGTGCCAGATCTCTCTGCCCCATGCCCCAGAGCACAGGGTCAAATGCCATGGCATACACAGAGCAGGCTCTGAGAATGTGTGCTGAGTCAGTTCTGCTCTATGTGTGGAGTGCTTGTGGTGGTTTCATTCTTCTCCTGTAGGCAAATTATAGGAAAATATTTAAGGGACAGGAAATTTAGCAAAGCTTTGGCCCAAATGCTGTTCATATGCTGCCTGGGAGAACTAGAGGCTCCATGTTCAGTTTCCCGAAAGGCTGTCTTTGAGTGTCTCTATATTTACCTAAAGCTCACTGAATGTCTCTAAAGCACTCACAGGGTGAATGAGTTTTCTATTGCTACATAACAAATTACCCCAAGATTGAGCTGTTGCAAACAAGTATTTCTTATTTCAAAGTTTCTGTGGGTCAAGAACCCAGATGCAGCTTAGCAGGGAGCCTGCAGTTCAAGACACTCATAAGATTATGGTCAAACTGTCAGCCAGGACATCAAGGCTCAACTGAGGCTGGAGGACCACTTCCTACCTCACCCACCTGGCTATTAGCAAGCTTCAGTCCCTTGCCATCTGGGCTTCTCTACAGGGCTGCCTTATAACATAGCTATTGACTTCCCTCAGAGCCAGGGACATGAAAGAAAGAGAGGAGAGGAGAGTACAGAGAAAGAAGGTAGTCTTTTTATAACCCAATCTCAGGAATGACAGCACATCACCCTTGCTATATCCTATTCCTTAGATGTGAGTCACTAGCTCCAGCCCACACTTAATGGGAGAGGATTACAGAAAAGCACCAACTTCTATCCTGCTAGAACATGGATATAATGTCTGGAGTTCTGGCAGCCATATTGGCCCATGAGGATAAGGCCCACACCCAGGGATGGTGGATCAGAAAACAGGAAGGAGGAGACTGAGACCCTGGTGATTCCATCATATCATCATTATCTTTCACTCAAAAGAATAAAACCTTAAGTGTCGAGTTTCCTTCATATGCAGGTGAGACTCATCATAGCTGATTTAAGTTGTTGGTAGGGTTCAGATTAAGATTCAATCAGCATTTCTCCCTCTTTTACAGATGGGACACCTAGACTCGGGGAGGTAGAGTTACTCACTCATCATCACTCAACTAGAGACTGCCAGGAATAAGGCCCAAACCCCCGGTCTCCACATTTACCCAAGCTGGTTCTGAGTGTCCCCAAAGCTTGTTGAACATTCAAGGCTCTGTTTGGGATGTTCCTGGCAGCTGCAAAAGTTCTGACTCCCTCAGGCTATGTATTTGTACCAGAACATTCCCTGCTCTGTTTCTCTGCTTACCAAGTAAACAAGTGAAATAGAAAAGGGAAAATATTTTGGATGAATTGATGCTTTGCAGTTCAAAACTTTTGTCTTATGCACACTCAAGCCAGTAGCCATGGAAACCCTCATTTCACTTCCTCAGCCTGTCTCTTTGTATACCATTCCCTTTTGGAGCCCAGAAGTTAGCAGCAACCAGAGATTAAATAAGTTCTATAGACTGGCAGGTGGTATAATTTTGCAAAGGACCTTGGTATACATGTCCATAACCTGGAAATGATCATGTTTCCATTACAGAGTTGTCTCAGATGGCTCATCTTTTCAGAAAAAGCCTTCCAGCCCACTTGCCAGAAGAATTGTCAGCAGAGCCACTCAAGAGAGAGTCATCATAGCTGTAATGAGAATAAACACTGTGTGTTGGAGGAGACATGCTTGGTATCCTTGCCCAACTATGTTTCTTGCCCAGGATGGCCCACACTTGGCCCCTGCCAAAGGGCTGGGCCTAAGCCCCCATATTTGAACTATGTAATACTGCTCTCACCATCTCAGGTTGGCCACTAAGCCCAGGGGAAGACAATACATCAGCTGAGAAACTTTCTCTCGAATATTTGAAGTAAGAGACACAGAGACTGTCATTAATCAATGGTAGACAGTAAAACTAAAAGGCCATGTAGCATTAGCACTGGAGCAGCTCTTTCTGGCCTTATACGTAATAATAAGAGAAAGCCAGTGCAAAGGGTGGAGACTAACTGAGAGAGAGGAAAAAATGAAAGGAAAGCCTCAATTTTTAATGACTTCCCAGTTTCCAGCTCCAATGCTGACCAGGTGAAGCTGTGCTCCATTTCTCAGTGAGGTCCCAGGGCCCTTGCCACAGTGATGTACCTTCCAGCTTGCAAATCATGTCTACCTACATTATCTTGTTTGATTTTTCCCAACTCCTTGAAGACCAGCAGACCAGAAATGATTACCCTCTTCACTCTTCTTTTATACATAGGAAAACTGAGACTCAGATAGGTGAAGTTACTTTATCAAGATTATCCACCCAACTAGCTGTAAGGGGCAGAACCTGAAGTCAGGTCTTCTGATTCGTGGTCTGATATTTTACCTACCCATGTCAATGTGATCAGGAAAAATGAAAAGTGAGAATGAATTTGACTAAAACTCTCACGATTTTCTCAGGTATTTAAGGTTTCAGGAAGAGACAAGTAAACGTGGATCCTCGATGGTGGGAGAGAAGACAAGCCAAATCGTTGAAGCGCATTTTAATTACTGATTTCTCTCCCTTTAAACCATGGACTGCAAACTCAAATGATAGGGGCCAGACAGGTAAAGAAAAAGAGGAAAACAAACAAGTATATGACAACTGGGAGTGGTGGAGACTGGGGCAAACTGGAGTGCTTATGCCCAGCTTGAAAAAGTATATCATTGTTCAGGTCTAGTCACATAGGAATGCAAAGCCTACATTACCAGATTTTCTCAAATTTTTTGAAAAGCCAGAACTCTGACTGTTAATGTGAAATTTTCTAATTGTTAAAACATACATCAACTAAATTACTCTTGCTGGCCAGATACTACCCTCATACCACCAACTTGCCACCTCTGCTCTGGATTGAAAACATTGAGACCAGGACAATGAACCATTCATCTCTACATATCTAATACCAAGCACAGAGTAGGCATTCAGGTGATCTGATTAATTAAATGGATTAAATAAAAATCATGTCATTCTGGTCTCTATTCAAATGACACCTCCCCAGAGAGATCTTCCCTCACCACCTGTGGTTATCCTCAATATCTATTTTCTTATTTTTTCTATGGAAAATGGCCCCTGATTTTTAGCTAGACATGTAGCTACCTAGAACAGAGAAAATGTTTTTCAGACTTTCTTGCAGCTAGATGTGGCCAAGTGACTAAGTCCTGGCAAAAAGGATGTACACAGAGGTAGTATATACAACTTCCAGGAAAATTCTTCCTTTTCCCTATGTCCTTTTCCCTCCCTTTCCCTCTTCCTGCTGACTAGAATGTGGGTGTGATGGCTGGGGCTGCAGCAGCCATGTAAGGTCATGATGTACAAGCCACATACTGAGGATGGTGGAACAGAGGATAAAAGGAGCTAGGTCCAGTGATGCTTTCAGAGCTACTTTAACCACTTTCAGAGCTACAAAAATCAAGTGGACTGCTTGATTTTTCTGAAGAAAAAAACATCTACCTAGTTCTATCTATTGTTTGAAGAAAGTTCTAAAAGAGCAAATTCTCATATTCTATCCCCTCATTCTTTATTTTTATTTAGTAATTATACTAAACATAATAGTATGTATTTATTTAACTAGTTAATTATTTTTGATCCCTATTAGACTATAAGTTCCATGAGGACAAGGAAATTGTTTTGCTCACAGTAATTTCCCCAGTGTTTAGAAGAATGTCTAGCATAGAATAGATGCTCAGAAAATATTTGTTGAATGTAATTAAGTGGATTGGATTGGGTTAAAAGTGAAACCGAATTCAATGATAACCTATCTCAGGTTCATGTCAGCTACCATTAGCCAAATTTCCTCAATGCTTTCAACAAATTATCCCCAAGGTTTTGGTCAAATGCAAATGCGGCCAGGAAAGAAAAGGTAAAAAAAAAACTTCAGCAATCCAAAGGACTTGTCCCAAATTTGCAAAGATTATGGGAAAGGAAAACAAAATCTGAAAATATGTTTCCACTTCCAAAGGTAGCACTTCCACACACAGGCCCTATTTTTATGCAGTGACAGCCTGAGGCCAGGTGCAGGCAGGGCTCCAGTGCACTGCAGTGTGAGAACGAACATGCATTGAGTCATGGTTGCTGCTGGGAGCTGCTCAGAGTGTTGGATTCAAGGCTGGCCTCCTGGATTTTAAAGATTATTTTTTTTATAATTATTCAAG